CCCCAAAACCCCAAAACCCCAAAACCCCAAAACCCCAAAACCCCATATAGAGTAAAAATTGTTGAATGTTTACTTAATTATCTTAAGGTACTCCAAGTCTTTCTGATCAAGTTTTCCTCTTAGTCTATCCTTGATGTTTCTCTTGTGAAGGCATTTATTGTCTCTTTTCTTCGTGCTAATACTTCTACTGTTTCCTGAATAAAGAGTTATAGCGTTATTGCTCTTAGAGTCAATCAGATAAACCTTTTTAAGCCAGTCGAATTTAGTGTAATCAAGATTAAAATTTCTCCTGTTGAGGCACCTTTTGAGAAGCTGTTGACAGTAGTTCATTTTAGGCTCCATGTCAAATTTTAGTTCCTGAACATACTTCATAAACTCCTTAAATTCAGTTGGAAATTTTTTACCAAGCATTTGAGGTTTGAATTCATCTTTCAGTCTATAGATTTTCTTGTGAAGATTTTCATCATCCTCAAATTTTCTATCCCAAGGGAGAGCTGGAATGCGTTTAAAACTCTGGCTTTTGGATATCTTTCTCTTATTTACCTTGCTTTTGTACAGATAAATCATCAAGTAAAGCAAGCTTTCTAAGTCATTTTTATTTGGAGACTCTGTTCTTATAAATATGAGACCTAGATCAGATCTCAGTAAAGGTTACTTACTCTTTACCTGTGAAAAGGAGGTTCCCTGCAAATCCGTCGACAGTTCAATAGTTAGAATTTTTAGAATTGTACCTCTCAAGTCTCACTGAAAGGCCAAAGTCAATTAGATAAATTTTAGTAGGATCATTTTTGCCAATAACAAAGTTGGAGTCCTTTATATCTCTATGAATTATACCTTTACTGTGTATGTGCTCCAGCCTTTCAAGAGCCTGGATTCCAAACATTATTGTAGATCGAAATCCAAGGCCTCCTCCATGAGATTTTCTTATTTTCCTCATATCAGGTCCCAAAAGTTCCATCTTGAGTCTATCCCTGCCATCAATTGTGGAATGATGAATGATCCTAGGAATCCCTGGTCCTTGCACAAGCTTCATGATCCTGGCTTCTTCCCTTAATCTTCTCTTTCTTTTACCTTTGTCAGTCTCTACTTTGACAGCATACTTGCTTGAGACACTAAATACCTTGCCATATGCACCCTCTGAAATTAGAGTTTTGCAATCTGTTAGCATTAACTATAAAATTATTTCAAAATTGTGATGAATAAAAGGGGTTTTGGGGTTTTGGGGTTTTGGGGG